AACATGAGATCTCTGTAACATGGATGTTGATATTTTATCATAGTTTTGGTTAGCTATTGCACATCTTTAGCTATGCCTGTCACAGCATTGGTCTAAATTCTAAAACTGAAGTACACATTCCTTAGAATTAAAAATACACAAAGGCTAAGTGATGCCCCATGCTGTAATGCTAGAATTTGCACTAAAACTACATAGCATTAAGAGTGCATTTTTTATTGCTCTTTAGGAAAGGATTAAAGATGATATTTTTTTTATTCAGAAGGGCAGGTAGAAGACAACACAAATCTTGTTGAGGACCTGCTGACAAGCCTTGTGGAGGTGATTGTGGATGTTCCCTTGGTAGACCTAACATATGCTCTTCATCACGAAGCCACCACAACACTCCTCATCCTCACTTCGTCAATTGTTTTTACATCATCAAAAGTTTGTCATCTGTCGATATTCAGGTGCATATTTATGCTCTTTGTTCCATGGTCGTGATACTGTAAAGAATGGTGTATATAGTTGTATATAAGTGTATATAAATGTACATTATGTTTTCTCATTGGACTTGCAGAATGTTAATGACAGGCCGGGCTTCCATCCATGCTTGTCTGTTTGTGAAAACTCTGTTAAAACGTTTTATGGCTCAAGACAAACCACCAGCCAAAGATGATGGGGGGAGTCTTGTTCTTGGACTTGCTTGTAGGTATTAAATGTATTGCAAAACAAGAAAGCATGGTCAATCTGTTTCAGTGTTCTTTAATGATTAAGCTCTGCAAATGTGGAAACTGTATTATACATATCATTGATATCAACACATTTTATATTTAAATCTGTATATGCTTCAGTGTGTAAAGATGATATTAGAGGAATATGCATTTTCTTACTGTAAATATTAATTGTCAGTATCATGTGTTGATGATAAGAAATATGGCTTGCCTTTGCAGCAGGGCTGTGGAATGTACTGACAATGGGGTTAGCTGGAAGTGGAGAAGACACAACCAAAAAGGGCCCAGAATCTCCCCTGGCTTCACAAAGTGTATTACTACTCTTAGTGTTAGCCAACCACTGCACAGCTGATAGAAATATCAGAAATCCATATCGCCAGGCATTGTTACATGCACAGAATTTCCATGGTATGTGTATTCAAAGTTTATTGAGAAAAATATAAGAATCCATAGGGAATCCTATTACTCAAAGGCATTTGCAAAACAGTTTGTTAGTAAGGAATTGACAGTATAATGAATAGATACAAATAAATTCATTAATTATCCAAAACACATCTTAATATAGGCTTTTTGAAAGAACAAATGTTAACCTAAGAATTGTTTTATGGTGAGCACTACCATACTATCATATAATACCATGACTGTTGAAATTTAAGACATTTTGTTCTAATAAAGAACTCGTTTAAACCCCTTTCACCATAATAATTTACCATAGTGATATATGACATCTATTTGCTTTAAAGCATTAACCATTAATCATTATGGTAAGCACTAATAACATTTTCCCGACAGATCCAGCTGAGAGCACTCCAACTCAGGCAGTTGCAACATTCAAGCTAGAATTTGCAACTCTGTACAAGACCCTTTATTCCCACCTCCATGATGACCAGACCACACTGCTGCTCTACCTCCTCCTTCACAAGAACGATGACTTCCGCACTTATGTCTTGGCTAGAACAGACATGGAAAGCCTGGTCCTTCCCATCTTGCATACCCTCTATCATGCCCCAGACAGCACCTCACATCACATATACATGTCTCTCATCATCCTGCTCATTCTGTCAGAAGATGATTCCTTTAACAAGACTATACATGATATTGTGAGTAGGATTCATTTTTATGATGAATATTTACTGACTGCAATAATGGGAACATTCAATGAGTCTGCTGTCTTAAGAATATATTTAGACTTGCATATGACTGTAATAGTCAAGTATTTTATTCTTGTTGTAAATGATTAAATTGATATAGATAAAACATGGAAAAGAAACAAGCAATAAAGAAAGCAGCAAAACGAGGTTGAGATAATTCTTATGATTTGGCAGCTGTTATAATTTGGCTTATCAAAACTTATCTTGCTCTTGATATAGATATAGGTGTGTATTTGTATAGATATTTTTTTAATCTGTATATTTTTTCAGCCTTTAAAGAATATCACCTGGTACACAGAAAGACTGATCAGTGACATATCACTGGGTGGCCTTCTTATTCTAGTGGTCATCAGAACCATAACATACAACATGACGAAGATGAGGGTATGTTATTTGTTACTTAGTGTTATGTAGTGTAAGATTAACCACTTGGATCTGGGTGATGTGACCAGCACCAGCACCTGGGAGGAAACTGCGTCTGAGACTGGTGTTTTACAGAAAATTGAATATTACAAAAATATAAAATCAATTACACAAATTACAAAATATTACCAATTAGTATTATTATTGCATTGTTATTGATTACTCACTACTTTAGAGAGATGACATTTCCATTCAACATTCATTCAACCAAATGACAAATATAGACATTGGAAAATGGCAAAAAAGTAAAAATGCCTATGCAGAAAAAATTATAATAACTTTGCAAAAGGTGAGGCAAAGGGGTCTTGACACTGTACACAAGTGTTTGTGTAGGCCATGTCTACAAGCTACACAACCAGGAGAGTTGTCACTCAAGTAAGCCTAATGCCTGGATTTTTTATCACTTGTGGGCAGCAAGGCACCCAGATCCAAGGGGTTAAACAATAGTCTATTAGAGACTCATGCAATGTCATCCATCTCTCAGCTAGTAAGAACTGGAATAGATGTGGGATAGAAATTGATTTAACCCTTGTTCTTTCAATTCCACTTGTTTGTGGTTCATCTGGTACCGAATGCAACAAATTGTCTAATTTTCCTTTAAACGCTTTCACAAAGCTCTGAGCTGTGTTTTATGCTTTTTGGCACACTATTAAACAGTCTTAGTCAATGGGTTAAGAAACTTTGATTACACATATATCTTAATTAGGAAGTTTGAGCAGTTATCCCAGAGTGATAACATGTTCTTCCCTGCCTTGGGGAGTGTCTTACCTTGATTTCAATGTTGTGCCTTTTAAGATATATTGAAATATTTTTTTCAGTTTATTCCCATGCTTGAAGTTTGAATTGCTCTTATTTAAAATAATATATTTAAGTATGTGCTGAAAGTTTAATATCATTCCCTTTATAATGTGTTTGCATGTAAATATGTAAAAATTGTCACTGACTTTTGTTAGATTTATAGTCCCTTGTTGTTGAAGGATATTATTTTATGAGTAATTATTTGTTTCATAAAATGATTAATAAAAATATGTCACTTTAATTTACTTGTTAGTTCTTGTAAACTTTTGTTGAAAATAAATAGAAATAAAGTTTTGTAATTTCCAATCAGGATACCTAATAGAATGAACTTGATTGAGATGAGCTGTTTTAAAAGTTACATAAGAAGAAGAATTATATTGGCATCCACATAATAATTTAATAATAATTGAACATTTTCAAAAATTTCAGGACAAGTATCTACATACAAATTGCCTAGCTGCCCTTGCTAATATGTCAAGCCAGTTTCGGTCTCTCCACCCTTATGTTTGCCAGCGTTTGGTCAGTCTTTTTGAAACTTTAGCAAAGAGACATGCTCGGCTTTGTGAGTCTCTCAAGCACACAGAAGATCTTCTTGATGAGGCAGACAGTGATATGCCAGATGCAGTAAGTATAAAAACTGTAGAATTTTCCAATTGTTAGAAGGTCTAAGATTAGAGACTGGGAGTCACATATGTGCTATTTTGATTTATTGCTTTCATACCGTCTTTGCATATTTTCTCTTGTCTTTTTTCTGTATATCTGTTATTGCTTTTATTGTTATTTTTTTAACATCAAACTTTATTTGCAAACGGAAGAAAATCAGTAAATTGTAATCAGTAAGAGTGTTGAAATAAGATTAGCTTCTGTGGCTTATTAGTTGAACAATAAATTGCAGATAAGTGACAGTTCTCTATTAAGATACATATAAGCCATCTTGAAAGTAAGTTTGGATTGGAACTTTGTGTAAAAAGAAAGTTTCAATGAAATGTTTTTGATACACCCTGTATGTAATAAATGAATTGGCAATAACACATGTTTCTGACTCTGCAGCTGAGTGATGTGAGTGTATTGGAGGAGGTGCTGAGAATGGTGCTGGAGATCCTGAACTCGGTGCTAACTCACCAGCTCTCTCACAACCACAACCTGGTTTATACTCTTCTGTACAAACGACATCTCTTCCAGCCTTTCTCCACACATCCCAATTTCCAGGATGTGACACAGAATATTGATGTTGTATTAGCGTACCTCATGGGCCGCTTGGAGACGACCAAGCGTGATCCAGGAGTCCAGGATGTTCAGGTATGTTGTGTTTGCGTTTATGATTATGCTTTACTACTTGTCCTTATATTTATAGTATATTATCATCATCATTTGCTGCTGCTGCTCTTCCTCCTCCTCCCTTTCTCCCTCAACTTCTACTCCCATTCTTTTCCTTGTCCTTCACTTTCTGTTCCTCCCCCATTCTTCTTGTAAAACATCTGTAACTACAATCAACGTCTACTTTTGCAATCTCTGTATCCCCCTCAGGAAGTCATCCAGCAAGGTGTTCTCCACCTGCCCAAAGACCGCCTTAAGAAGTTCCCGGAGCTCAAATTCAAGTATGTTGAAGAGAGCGAGCCAGAGGAGTTTTTCATCCCATACGTGTGGACTCTAGTGTACCATGGATCGGGTATTTACTGGAGGCCTGACACTATCTCCATGTTTGATCCGTCACAGCCAGATGGATAATGTCTTTGTACAAGCCTCTTTTTATTTGTTGCTACATGGATGATGTCAGTTTGATGTACATTGTTTTATGATGTTTTGTACTCTAAAACTGTATTCCTAAATGCTTATCAGTTTGCTAGGGGAGTTAGGCAGATTCTAGTGACCCATTAGTTAGATAAATTGATTTAGGCAATATATTTTTATTTATATCATGTATATATATGTATATATACATACATATATGTGTATATATGTATATATGTATATATACATATATATATAGATAATATATATATATAGAATATATAATATATATGATATATATATATAATGTATATATATATATTAGATATATATATATACACACACACACACACACATATATATATATATTGTGTATGTGTGTGTGTGTGTATTTATATATATATATTAATTATATATATATATCTCTATATATATATATATTTGTGCATACATATACATATACATATATATATAGATAATATATATATAAATAAATGTATATGTATATATATGTATGTTTATGTGTATGTATGTATGTATATATATATATAAATAAATGTATATGTATATGTATATATATGTATGTATGCATACATACACACACATGTATGTGTATATATTACTTTATTAATGTATATATATGTATGTATGCATACATACCAAATGTAGAAGAATCAATAAGTGGACACATACTGTATATTACCAACCAAACACCCTACATGTACAGTTATGTACACATACACACAGTTTTAAAGTATAAATTTATTTTCTCTCGGTCTGTTTTCTAGTTTTCATGTTGTGAAATCAAATTATACATTATATATATAAATATATTTCACTATTTTACCTGACAAAATATACCTGACAAACACATAAGGTCAGTGATATGGGTTAGGCCCATGTCTACACTCCACTTTTGTTGACACTTCTATAAGCACATTTCTTGCACCCAATTTTTGCTTGTTATTTTTAGGTATCCTATCTTGCTTGTCCCTGTTATTATAGTTTTTAAATGCCTCCTTATATACAGCTTGGTGCATCTACCAATATTTGATGCTCACTTATTGAGGGTTGTTAAAAAAAAAAAAAAAAGTTTTACAAATTTGAATGTATGAATGTTTTTTGCAAGTGCTTAGTTTTACATGTACACTGTGTGGGTTGTCCATATAACAACACACTCGTACATGTTAGTAAAGGTAAATCATGGCTAACTGATCACTTCCAATGTGCAAGCTTGTATTTTATTTCTGTGTTGTGTTTGCAAGTAACTATATTTTCCAAGCAATTTTTCACACATCAGATAGATAGGTCTGAAAAGTTATCATCATTGGGGCTTCCATAAAGAGAGTTTACCCAAACAATTCATTGGTAGTTTTCAAAGCCTGAAGAAATCTCACGGAAATCAAACAATTCTCTTGACTCCTTAGATATTTATTATTAACATGTCCTCTCAAGGTAAAGCAGACCAAATCCTTTTATTTATATGCATATTTATGATATATAAAGTAAAGTATATAAAAGAAGTAGAATGAATGCCAAAATGAATAGCAAAAAGCTCAAATATATACAGTGCATTTGTTGTTGTTGTTGTTATTATTTTTCTATCTGCATATCAGTATTCTGAAGTATAAAGTTTTGAATTTATGTTGAAATCATGCGTTTTGTAATACTATTTTACAGGAGCTATTGCAAACAAAATTGCCTTAGTTAACAGTGCTGTTTTTTCACTGATCCATTTGTTTTTCATTCTACTAATGCTGAACTAAAACCCAATGGGATTATTGCATTTTTTCTTTATTTTATTTGGTGATATTTAGTGATACAGGTTGCTGCTTCATTGCCATTGATAAATTGGTAATTAGAAATTTAAATGATGTGACATAAGTTGCCTACAGTGATTATATATCCAGAGTCAGCCAAACCTAAATAAATACTAAGAAAGGAAATCTAACATAGATTAGCAGCCAGTGCTTAACAAATTTCACTACATCAAACACATCTTAACGATTCTACTGAAAATTCCGACCATAGACTGATATCTCTCTCTGTGTCTGCATTTTATTTGAGCACCTAATTACAGTGCCTACCTTATTTATGATTTTATTTTTTATTCAGAAAAGAAACAATGATTCAGCAGTAATAACTTGTGTTTTCTTCAATACATATCCTTTCAGTTCTGCCACAAATCAGTTGCATAATGGTGCTAAAATTGTATTTGTTTTCATTATGCATATCTGAAAATGATCTGTATAATGTTCTGCCTAAATATTTGACCAAGCACCTGCTTAAGTTACCTCCTTTTCTTCTATGCATTTGTGTGGTTGTGGTTGATGTACATAAGATCCAGATTAAGTAGAAAATACTAGGAAAATACTACTACTACTACTACTCTTACTACTCCTACTACTCCTACTACTCCTACTACTACTACTACTACTACTACTACTACTACTACTACTACTACTACTACTACTACTACTACTACTACTACTACTACTACTCCTCCTACTCCTACTCCTACTCCTACTCCTACTACTACTACTATTACTACTCCTACTACTCCTACTACTACTCCTACTACTACTACTACTACTACTACTACTACTACTACTACTACTACTACTACTACTACTACTACTACTACTCCTATTACTACTCCTACTACTACTCCTACTACTACTCCTACT